TGAACTAGCTTCATCAACTTCCTTAAGATATAAATATTAACAATTGTTTGTGTAAACATGCAACATTTGTTGCACCTACCCACTTTTAAATAAAGCAAAAAACACTGAACAAAGTAAGTTCTAACTCTGAATGCTTTCTTTCTTTTTGGGATAGTATTAAAGGCATACTTTTATAGAATGTCGTTGTTTGAAAATACAACCAATAGTGTGGAACGTAGGGTTGCTTTCTTATAGGACTATTTGTGTAAAACATGCAACATTTAAGAAAATGGGGTCATTAGTGGCTTGAACTGTACTACCTCTATGAGACTATAGTTGAATAATGTTTCCATACCTTCCACAAAATTTTGAGAGCCAAGTAGAAACATTAACAACTTATAAGAGAGAAAAATGTAATGCTCGACTTTCTATTTTTATATAGTTTGGCCCACAAGCTTCCATATGTTGTGTTTAGGAGTCGCCATAAAACTTTGGATATGAGATGACCAAAGTTAGACCATAACCTATCAAGAGTTATTCTAAACTTCTTCACTAGTGTGATGCAACCTAACATCTATTCCCTTTTGTTGTCCTAGACTGAATAATATTTAAACTTTATGTTGTTTAATCCAAGCTCCAAATAATTTCTTAACATAGAATTTAGTTGTAGTTTGCTCATATCTTCTGCCTAGTTTGACAAGTCAAATTCAACTTGACTAACTAGTCAAAGTTAGTAAAGTTTACATTTAATTAATGAAGCAATGTAATATTTTATATCTATATGTGTGTTTACCTCTTTCTTGTGGCTTTTAGTTAGTCTTGACAAAAAACAACAATAGTCATTTTAGATTACTTTTATAATTCTTGATTCTTTAATTTGGGACCAATCACTTTTATACAAACCCTAAACCACTGAACTTCCCTTGTCAAGATTAGCATAACTTTCACATTTCAACTTTTACTAGATCTCATTTGTAATTTTGATAATGTTAACAACTAAACATACTCCTTAATTGATATCCAGTGAAATAGAGTTAAACTATATTGTTGATGGTTATGCTAACCTACAACCATTTTTTCTTTGTAGGTTGTTGTTTTATGCCAAGCTCCATTCTTAATCGATGATCTTAATGTTGGTCTACTGTTCCCTGCTGATGTAATTACAAGAGGTAAACTCAGAATCTTATTGACCTTCGATAGTTTAAGTATTCTCCATTTGGAACATGCTTTCTTTACTTATTATAAGCTTGGTAAATGCAATTTTTGTTCAATTGAAATTAACTAATATTTTATTCTATTGGAAGTAGGGAAAGATG